GTGTAATCAAGTCATCTCTTTGAGATTTTGTCATGATTCATAGTGCCCCTTTCATGTGGCTGAATTAGGTTGTGTTTTGTGGCTCATTGCATATTCGATTTTGAGTCAGATTCTACTCTCTGATATTCATGTACCACTGACTTCAATGGGAGCTGCATTAGAGTTTGGCCCATTATAAACATACCCTTCAGATTAGTGCAGTCAACAAGAGCCATCTCTGCAACTTGGGGAACTAGTAGACTCTGCATAAAAATGGATCCTTAGGTATACAAGTTAAATGGCAGCTTTCGTACTGAAACACAGTTGGATGAAGAACATTTTGAACCAAAGGACATGTCCTTGGTCAGTATTTTTTTTTTTCAATTACTCTGATGCTATTTTTGTGATTATTATTTCTTTATATGACAATAGGGTCCAGAGACCTTTCTGCTAGTCACTATACAGACATCTACAAAGTCACATCCCCAACTCTGAAGAGAGAGCCTAAAGTTGAAAAAATATTTTCATTTTTTTCAGTTTTGTGCATTTGAGAGATACTTTGTGTGTCTAATAATGGCATTTTCTGCCCCATTCCCCCCTTTCTCCTTCTGCTTGATCCCACAGGGAAGTCATAATTCTGTGATTTTCACCAAACTCTGTTGCAATGCAAGTGAGTGTGATGTGATAAATTCAGCATTATGACATTTCGTGACCATCAAGAGAAGATGGGGTATGCGGGAGCTATCCTTGTTTAAACACACATTGTTTTAGTAAATAGCAGACATGGTAAGAAACTGTAACAAGTAGTGGATTTCTTCAAGTCTGATCTATTTGAAAGCCTCTCTGCTTAAATGGCAATGCTGTATCTGCAGCAAAGGCTTTCAGTTCTTGTTCAGTTAAACAATTTTTGTTTCTGATGTTCAATGCTAATATAAAAGCCCTCTTGACATTTCATGTATAAATGTAATACATGGTATTCTGTTTCATCCACTAACGTGTTGCATTTATACATGCAATTTGACGCTTGGTTTTCTTTGAGGGCCTTGGGATTTATGTATATAATTTTTGCATAGAAAGTCTTGGCTATTTAAAATTAGACCTTGAGTGATTATGTAACTTAAGTTCTAGGGTACTGGTGTGTCTAAGGCTATGTCCTACACTAGAGAGCTTACAATGGCACAGCTGTTCCCATGCAGCTGGGCTGCTGTAAGATCTCTCGTGTAGCCACTTTGTGCTGAGAGGAGGGAGCTCCTGTCGGAATAATTAACCCCCCCCCCCAATGAGTGGCGGTAGCTATGTCGGTGGGAGAAGCTCTCCCGCCGACGTAGCGCTGTGCACACTACTGCTTATGCCGGGGCAGCTTATGTCGCTCCGGGGCATAGAATATTCACACCCCTGAGCGACATAAGTTTTGCCGACATAAGTGGTAGTGTAGACATAGCCTGAGATAAGCATTAAATTCTAAATACTTACATATCTGTTGCTGTCTTCAAAATATTGTGCAAACCTTTAAGGATCACTATCAACCTAAAACAAATTAAAATAATTTAGACCAAAATGTGATGCCCTTTCACGATCCGATTGTAAAACCAGAAAAATTGGCAAGGACGGTTGGGGGCAATTGGAAGTTAGTTGTGTTTTTTTGTTTTTTGTTTTTTTTTTAAACAAACTAACTTTCAAGGTGAATATGGGGAAACTGAGACAGAGAGAATTTACTTGACCCAGGTGTCAAATCAGAGCAGATACAACTCAGGAGTTCCTTGCTTCTAGTCCCATGCTTAGTCAACTACTAGACCAGAGGTGGGCAAACTTTTTGGCCCGAGGGCCACATCGAAGTTGCAAAACTGTACGTAGGGCCAGCTAGGGAAGGCTGTGCCTCCCCAAACAGCCTGGCCCTTGCCCCCCATCTGTCCCCTCCCACTTCCCGCCCCCCCTCAAACCTCCCGACCCATCCAACCCCCCCCGCTCCTTGTCTCCTGACCGCCCCCTCCCGGGGCACCCTGTCCCTAACTGCCCCTCCAGGACCCCACCCCCTATCCAATCCCCCCTGTCCCCTGACTGCCCCGATCCCTATCCACACCCCTGACAGGCTCCCCAGGACTCACATGATTATCCAACCCCCCCCGGTCCCTGTCCCCTGACCGTCCCACCCCCCGATCCTCTGTCCCCTGGAATCCCCTGCCCCTTATCCAACCCTTCCCCCCCTCTCCCTTACCATGCCACTCAGAGCAGCAGGAACTCACAGCTGTGCTGCCCAGCGGCATGGGGATCTGAGGCTGCAGGGGAGGGGGGACAGCAGGGGAGGGGTTGGGAGCTAGCCTCCCCGGCCAGGAGCTTAGGGGCCGGGCAGGACGGACCCGCGGGCCGTATGTCGCCCGTGGGCCATAGTGTGCCCACCTCTGTTCTAGACCATGCTACAGTTCATAATTCATACAGCATCTAGCACATTGCGGGTGCTGTTGGAAACACAAATGAGTATCTTATGTTAATTCTATCTAATTAAAAGAAATGCTTTAATTAGCAGATCAGAGTGATTTTCTTTGTACAGTAAATAACATTGAGGACATCAGAATACAATTTGGAGTTTTTGAAATGGGAATATGATAAATATTGTGGATAAAAACATTGTAGGAAGTACTTGTAGTTTAAGCATTCATCTGTACTTATTATAAATTATGAAGCTGAACGCTCTTGCCCATTCTCTAGATTTTAAAAGGTATCTGTTAGTGTTTGAAACCAGTTAACTTTCTTTACTTGTTACAAAGTTTAAATTGGCAGCTTAACTAAGAGTTTGTTAAAGAAGCTTGTCTTCTACATTCTTATTAGTACTCGTGCTCTCTAAAGTTCCAGTATTGCAATCACCTTTGTAAAGTGAAGTACATGAGTGAGTAGTCCCATTAAGTTCAGTGTTATTGCTCATATGCATAAGTGTTTGCAGAATTGGGGCTTTGGTGTACGTCCATCAAAAATTATTATTCGTGTTGTGGTATTTCTGTTCATTTAAATCAGAAAAAATCCTTTCGGTTGGAGGTTATCAAAGGTTAAAAATACTGCTTAGGAAGCTTAATAGAATTGAAATGTCGGGGCTAATTTTTATACTAGAAGGAAAAAGTTACTAATATAGGTTTCCTCCTGTGTTCTACAGTCTGTCCAGTGAAGATGCTGCTTTGAGGCTGCTTTGAGATGCTAACCAGGTACCTTGAACTTTTGGTTTTCCAGTGCAGCATCTCTAAGTAATATTTTGATGTAGGAGAAGACTAAAAAAGCCTTGATACTAAAATCCATTCTTGTTTCCATAACTTCAAAGGCTTTCTTAACTAGAGATGAGTTTAGATTGTCTTGTATCCTTAAAACAAACCAACCCTGTATCATGAGAATCTCTTTACAGGTTTGTTCTCCTTAGCATTTGCATGCTCTTATCTCCACTGCCATTTTTATCATGTTTAGGAACAGAATTCAAACTGAGTTCCAGTTAAATTGGTTTCTGACATGCTTTGGCCATTTGGTATGAATGAATGGGTGGCGCTAAGCCACATTTACAAAATTGTGATCTAAGAACTGAAGCGGGAAACCATTTAATCTGAATTGGAGTTTAAATGCTGTTTTTAAATACAAATTTCAAACAAATGTCAGTGTTGACAAAGCCAAAATTTGTTACCAAAGTGCCATAAATAGTTCCTTTTCTAAGCAGGAAAGAGGATCCTTTCAGGCAGATGAAGAATGAGGTTGACATTGTCAGTAGCCAAAAAGGGAAAAGAGGGGAGGGAGGGTGGCGGTGGCACTTCTAGAATGTGACTGCTGCTGATTCTGCAAGCCTTTCTTAAAAACCTTGGAGGAGATGTTACCACAAACGCACAGGAGTGACAAAGCTTTTCCCATCCTGCCAAGAACGTGTGTTTTACAATGTATTAAATAATAGATTTGGAATCCAGCTGTAGTGTTGTGGCTTTTTTTTAAAAGCAAAAAACAAAAAAAAACCCACACCCAAAATCCATAAATGTTTTGAAATCATACCAAATTAATTTTAGTTGTTCCTCAATAATCAATGACATTAGTGTGTTTTTGCTAGGTTTTTAATCGATCTGTTTGCAGAATTTTATTTTGAATCCGCTAACCAGCAGTGATGATCTGTGACCTGAAAACTGATTACCAGAGACTAGATGAAATTTTTCTGGCATTGTGGACCTTCCTTTAATGTTCTTGTGTAATGATTGTTCTCAGGGAGTCAGTCTCCCAATCTCTCAGTTGTTCTCAGCATCTGTGTCATCTCCCCACTCTGTATATCTTCATAGCCCCATGTTGCAGTGGCACCCTCCGGACAGATTCCCTGTGCAACTCCTCAGTGTCACTTCATGGTTGGCTGGCTGGCTGGTAGGCAGGGGTCTTCATAGAGTGCTGTAGGCTATGCTCTCCCTCTTCCACAGTATTCCGAACCCCAGCTGGTCCAGGGAGCCAGGGTCCAAGAATCAGATTCTAGCCTTCTGCATGGCAGCACATATCGCTACCAATAGGCCAGCCTTAATTTCAAAGCTATTTGACATAGGTGTTGAGTGAACAGTAAAATTGCTACCAGAAAGTTTCTCTCCAAAAATAAAATTTAAATGGTCAGACAGCATTTAGATTTCCAGTATCACTAAATTTAACTATACAGCAACCAAAATACCATGTGTCTGAAAACTTCTGCTTTATACAAAGTTAAATAAAATTGAAACCATTGTAGTTGTGTTTTTGGTTGGCTAGAATTCTGCTTAACCATATCTCTGACCCAGGTCTCGTTACTGCTACTGCAGTCACTCAGCTAAGCCAGTAACTGCTCTTAGAATTGTGAAGTTGTTTGCAGGCTATAATTGGTTGTTTTTTAAATGCAGGTAATTATATATACATACTTACAGTACTAAAGATGGTATAACAGAGATCATCTTAACTGTATGATAGCCCATTTAAATCCTTGACAACATAGTAGGTCATTTTGTGAATATGAAGTTTTTAATGTTAACTTCTCCTGCATTGTAATTTTATAGGGAGAAGAAATGGGTGACAGTTGGCGACACATCCCTCAGAATTTACAAATGGGTACCAGTAACAGAGCCCAAAGTTGATGATGTAAGTATTTCTGGACACCCTACAGATAGATATCTTAGAAGTTTTGGAACTGCAGACCAGTATTTAGTCAAGGTCGTAAGGGGACGTATTGTCTGTCCTCAGATCTCAAAGTTAATATTGGGTTGGGCCTTAGTACTTAAATAGAAGACTTCCAAGGGAAACTGAGGTTGCTGCAGAAAGTATTGTTGGTGATTCAGTAGGGTAGCACTTTTCCCCCCAAGTCTCATTGTAATATGTGACTTTTAAAGAGATACTGTTAATTTGAAAGCGAGTCAGTTTTTTAAAATAGTTAGTTATAGATTCTGCATCCCCACTTTCCAATGTAATCATATTTTCCTAATTGCAAAAAAAAAGATTTTATCTCACCTTTTTCTTTTTGAAAGATCCATACGACCATCAGAGGAAAGTAACTTGTACAGCTAACTGTGCACAGTATGTATACTGTATTCTTGCTGTGCATCGTTAAACAGTTGCCACATCTCACAATAGAGACACCTTTATTTCAGTGTCTTATAAAGAGATTCCTCTGTGTGTGTGTGTGTGTGTGTGTGTGTGTAGTTTATAAAGTGTTTTAGAATTCTTTGGTATAAAAGTGCCATGGAAATGTGAGGTATTATTGTATTGGTTAAGATGCTCAAGCCAAGCAGTATAGAATGTTGCCTGCTATTGTAATGACTATTTTCTCCTGATAAATAAGCATTGCACATGCAGCATATTGATGTTCTTACTGTGCAGTGCACTGTGAATTCACTCTGTTTTTTTGCTATGATAGACACATGGCATAAAACAGCATTTATAATGAAAATAAAAATTAATAGCACTTATCTTTTCATCCGTAGATCTCAAAGTTCTTTACAAAGGTAAGTATGCATTATTACTCCCATTTTACAGGTGGATAAATTTGTGCAGAGAGAAATTGTGATTTACCCAAGGTCTCACACTAAGTCAGTGACAGAGCAGGGAAATATAACTTGGATCTTCTGAATCCCAGTCTGGTAACCTATCCACTGGATCATGTTGCCACTGTTTTAAATCTATAGCAGAGGTGTGAAATAAGTTGCAGTTTGATGGAACTAATAGTTTAGTATAGTGGTTTTAAACCTGTGGTCTGCAGAGACCCCTGGGAGACCACAGACTACGTCTAAGGGGTCCGCGAAAGGTGGTTGTTACCATAGAATAGTAGTTTTCAACGTGGTCTGTGGATCCCCAAGAGTCCGCACACTGCCTAAGATTTTCAAAAGGGTCCGCATCTCAATTTGAAATTTTGCAAATGAAAAAAGGTTGAAAACCACTGGTCTAGTAAAATGTCCAAAATAGTGGCTCTTAAAAAAGACTGAAGCCTGGATTCACACTACTCAAAACCCAATTTCCAGGCCTCGCTCTGTCTTCTGATTGAGGTTATGTTAAACTGAACCAGTTTCTTTACGTGACTTCAGTCATCTTGCAGAATCTGCTCCTTAAGGTGCAAGACATGCCACATCTACCCCGTTTAAAGAAGTCTCCAATCCACCAATCTGCCATTGGACAGTTCCTTTAAAGCAGTGGTTCTCAACCTATTTATTATAGTGGGCCACAGGTTGAGAACCACAGCCTGCCATCACCAGAGCACTATGCCCAGTGCCTCCCACCCAGAGACCCCTCCACAGAGTGGAGCCCTGGACGGGGGCTGGATGGCCGCTGGGCAGCAGGGACCCCGGACCTTGCTGTACAGGACCTTGCTGTACAGGGCCAGGCAGCAGCCCCGACCTTGGACCCAGCTGTGTGGGCGGCAGCCCAGACCCTGACCCCACATGGCAGCTGGCAGCCCCGACGTTGACCCCAGATGGCAGCCCCCGGACCCCGCGTGGCAGCCCCTGGATTCTGGACCCTCTGCAGGGCTGGCTGGCAGCCCCAGACCCCCGCAACATGAGGCCAGTCCCTGCCGCACTGGGTGGCCAAGCAGCCGGGAACCTGGACCCTGTGACCTGGTGGCCTTTAGCACATAGCTGGGCCGCAGCTGTGTGCTAATTGGGCCGCTGCTTTAAAGCAGTGGTTCTCAAAGCCAGTCCGCTGCTTGTTCAGAGAAAGCCCCTGGCAGGCCGGGCCGGTTTGTTTACCT